CCTGCACCTAATACCATTTCCACTTGATGTTGGATTGCTGATGCTATCACCCAACTTAGTATCTTGGTGCATCAGAAAACATGTGCTTCATCATGGTCATAAGGTCTTTAGATGTCGCAGCTCAGTTCAGTCTCTACCAGGGCCCAGTAGCAAACCAAGAGCTATTTCTGAAAACATCGGTTATCTACTCCAAAACCCTAATGGTCTGTTTCTGCTTGTACGACTGTTGTAGGCAGCCTCTAAAATGGCCCCCAACTATCCCCACCTCCTGCTAATGCCCTTGAGTAATCCCGTTCCCCTGAGATTGAGCTGGACTAGTGGCTTGTTTCTAATTAACAAAACTATGGCAGAAATGATGGGGTATCACTTCTGAAATGAGTTTATAAAAAGATTGGGGGTTTTCTGTCTCTGTCCCTCTCTTGTCCCGCGTATTGGGGAAAGCAAGCTTCATTTTTGTGAGGAGCCCAATGGAAAAGCCCACAGTTTTTCAGCCTGGGAGGAACTGAAGCAAGGCGACAACCAAGCCTGAGACTGGAAGTGGATCCTTCAACCCCATTCAAGTCTTGAGATGACTGTAGCTCCACCCAGTGGCTCGGCTTGATTGCAGCCTCATGGGATGCCACGAGCCAGAACCACCCAACTAAGCTGGTCCTGTATTCCTGACCAACAGAAATTGTGAAATAATAAATGTTTGTTGTTTTAAGTAGCTAAGCTTCGAAGCAATCAGCTACACAACAGATAAATGTAATGACTATCTGTGGACTTATGGTTGATCTACACAATACTGATTCTGATCAAGGAATTCATTTCTCAGCTAAAGTGTACCAATGAGTTCATGCCCATAGATAGATGCCAGGTATGACATACCTTAGAAGCAGCAGAGCTGATGAAAACAGCCTACTGAAAATCCAGTTACAGTGCCCGTTGGGAAACAACACTCTGTAAGTTAGGGCATTATCTTACAGGATGTGGGCCATCCTTTGACCAGAGACTAATATAGGGTACTCATTCTTCCATAGCTAGAATACATGGATCGAGGGGTGGAAGTGGAGTGGGCTTCCACTATTATAATTAATTACAACCACCCAAATTTTACTTTCCATCCTTGAAACTTTGATTGCTATTGATTTTAGAGGTGTTAATTCCCAAAGGAAAAATGCTTCCGCCAGGGGTCACAACAATAATGGCGCCAATGAACTGTAAGATGAGACTTCTACTGCCCATGCTGAGCTTCTCATGCTATTGAAACAACAAAGAAGGGATCACCGTTTTTGCTGGGGCAATTGCTCCCAATTAATAAGGGTAAATTGAGTGGTGCTATAACAATGAAGGCAGAAAAGACTATGTCTAGAGCCCAAGGCATTCTCTGAGGCACCTTTGAGTACTCTCAAATCCAGTAATAAAAATCAAGGCAAAACCACAGCAACACATTAAAGACAGACCACCAAGACGTAGACCCTTTGGGAGTGAAGATTAAGATTACCTCCCTGTCTGTGGTGCCCGTAGAGAGTACAGGGAACATAGAGTATATAGCAAACCTAAGAACACAGGACCGTAGCAGTTATGCAAACTTTCTTCCTTGCTTGTTCTATACATATTGATATATATTCATTTATTTTTCCCCTCCCCTTCATCGTCCCTTTTTATTTCACATAAAGACTATTATTAACTTTACAGTCTATATGTTACAGAATATTCAGGTGGGATTGAGTAAAATAGACACTAACATCACCCAGAGATGGTTATAGTGACTGGTGGGACTTTTGGCCCTCTATTAAGAGGATGGAAATATGTTTACAAAAAGGATAGCTGTATTTTGTTAGGCAAAAGCAAAAAGATGTTATTGTTATTGTAAGATAGCAACATGTGAATGCTGAATGACCAAAAGGATAGATTCTACTGGCTATTTACTGTCTCGCAGCTCTAAGCACACCTTTCAAAACTGTTCCATAACATTTGGGTGTGTAAATTATAATTTCCAGATTCCCCTGACAACTCACTTCTGGTTCGGTTCTGCAAAAGGGAAGCCCTGCGTGCGGTTGGAAAGAGGAAGGGAGAAAGAACTCTTCCTGCTTCCAGTTCCTGTCAGCAGCAGCAAACTATGACTCCAAGCTTCGTTCAGCTGGCCCTGACACACTCTGGCGGTAGGAATATTAGCCCCTTGGGGCTCTCTCACCTTCTGGGCCATGCTACCTGAACCTTCCAAGCACCTGCCAGGATGCATCCCCTTCTCTTAGAGTCTGAGTATCAGCTGAAATGCTCTCATGGCCTGATCATCAGGTAAAAAGTACCCCTTCTTGAGAGATCTGATGTTCAGTTCCAGAGAACCCCTCCTTCAAACTTGTACGTTCTTGCAACATCACTTGTACCAGAGTTCTGCAGAGAAACCGAACCAATAGGAGATATATATGTTGAGAAGTTCAATATATGTTTAGAGAGAGACTGATTTATTACAAGCTAATTTCTCATGTGATTATGGAGGCTGAGAAGTCCCATGATCTGCTATCTGCAAGCTGGGCCAGGAAAGCCACTGGTGTAGTCCAAAGGCCTGAGAGCCAGAGAGCCAAAGGTGCAGATTGCAGGCTGGGTCTGAAGGCCTGAAAACCAGAAGCACCAAGAGTTAAGAGGAAGACTGATGTCCCAAGTCCTGCAGTTAGGCAGAGAGCAAATGCAACCTTTCTCCACCATTCTGTTCTATTCAGGCCCTCAAGGAACTGGGTGATGCTCACCCACACTGGGAGGGCCATCTGCTCTACTCGGCTCGCCGATTCGAATGCTACTCTCTTCTAAAAACACCCTCACATACACACAAAGAAATATTGTTTAACCAGATATCTGGGCATCAAAAATTTTCATCATAAATTTCAAATTATAGCAAAGGCTCTCATTTCAGTTTTATAGGCATACCTCAGAGAGATTTGGGGCTTGGTTCTAGAATACCGCAATAAAGTGAGTCACACAAACTTTTTGGTTTCCCAGTGCATATAAAATTTGTTTACACGATGCTATAGTTTATTAAGTGTGCAATAGCATTGTGTCTAAAAAAACAAAGTACATACCTTAGTTAAAAATACTTTATTGTTAAAAAATTTTAATAATCACCCAAGCCTTTATAGCAAGTTGTAATCTTTTTGCTGGTGGAGGGTCTTACTTTCAATTGGTAAAAAAAAAAAATGCAGTGTTTGCAAAGTGCAATAAAACCAGGTATGTCTGTACGGCCATTTTAAAATAAAACTATTCCAAGTCTCTTAAATTCATCCACTGGACTCTAAAAACATAGCTGTTTGGTATCCACCATCTCCATTAAAAAAACACATTCCACTTCCTCAGTTTTACATTTTTTATGCTTAAAAGTTCACATTCCACTTCCCCAATTTTATATTTTTATGCTTAAAAGCTCACCTTGTCATATCCTTCTGCAATAAAAATATGCACATTAATTTGCATTGTTTTAAAATTTCCAGTGAACATGAGATTCTTAAAAATGTTTAAAATTTCTTCTGGCTTGGTTAATTACAATTAGTATTACTATACAATTGAGTGTAACAAATATACTTTTTGAAATGTTATTAAATATAAGAGTAAGATTTTATAGAAATATATCTCAACAAGATTGATACAAAAAAATCAGATCATGTGTCTGTGGAAGTACATTTTTAAGGAGGGAAATCTGAAAACAAATTTTCTGAAAATTACTGACAACCACGAACTTAAAATTCATGGGAAGGCTTTGTGAACCAAGTGGTATGAACATCTGTTTGAAGGTGGTTTGAAGACTCCTCTTCAAGTCCATGTACACATAGTGTTGAATATATAGGAAAAAGAAACATTGAAATAGAATTTAGACATACAAGTAGAGAAATACAATTTTGTTTGAGGAAAATAAATGGAAATTCAAATCACTTCTAGGATTACCAAAAATTTTTTTTGCTTAAGTCCTATCTTCATTTTACCTAAGTTGAGACTCAACCAGAGTGACACGCCCAAGACAAGATTAATCACAAACTCACACACGGTTGACCTTGAATCTCTCACTCTAAAGTTCCCAATCTCTGTATTCCAGCCAACCTCTTTCACACTGCTCCACACCCTGTCAGAAGCTGCAAAGTTCACATTAAACTGAAAACCCCCAAATATATCACAATCCCTCTGAAGGCTATATTAAAAATATAGTTTTACTCTAAAATAGAACGATACTTTATCTCATTTGTTATAAAAATGGAACTCATAAAATGTATCTACAGTGTGGAAATATAAATAGCAAGCAATACTGTCATCCTCACATTCAAAGCAAATTGAACCCAACTGTCTGAGGACACTGAAATCACTGACAAGAACTACGATCATGCACATGAAGTAACTTTTTTTCATTATACTGTTCTATACAGACTAACTCAGCACATTCTGAATGTGTGATAAATATCATCCTCTGGATCTATATCCTGGATTATGTTTTAATCACCAAGATGGAACCAAATTTTAATGAATTTCTCATTATATTACAGTACAGCATATTTAGCTGATACACCAAACTGGTTTCATTTGAGTCATAACCTCAATTGCCTACAGGGCAGGAAGTAATCTAAATGTGGAAGTTGCTAGGTGTGAGATAATACAGAGAAATGAAAAGCACAATCTGTTCTAAAGGTACTTAATTATTTTTTAATACTACAAGCCAAAAAAAAAAAATATATACACACACACACACACACACACACACACATATGGGGTTGAAATTTTACAATTCTCATTGTCTTTCACAACATATTCAACAGATTTGAAATCAATATTTACCAAGTGCTCAATTAGAAAGAAGGTACATGTACTTAGAATGAGAAAATGTTCATTAAATTATTGTTGACACAGTAAGTACGTGTGCATAAAGTTGTCTCATAGTTTACACGAGAATACAGCAAAGTGATTAGAACTATACACAAATTACAGATCAAATTTACATTCCTGACTTAATTTATTACATAAAGAAAAACAGGAGAAAAGAATATTTTATATCAATACTTTAATACTGAAGTCAGCTATTAGACATAACCACCAAATCTTCTATTTCATTTGTCATACCTTGGGAGATATTCTAAGTGAGATTAAATTGATGAAGCATGCATAGTAAATCTAGAACACTCTACTTCATCTCCAAATTTAAGTTGGGTCTTTTAATAAGTTACTTCTTATTTGCTGTTTTGTAGTATTTATGAAATGAATTAGTGCAATACATCGCTGAGGTATCATTTAAAAGGTAAATACACTACAGGTGTGGATTTGTCATCCCAATTCCTTGGCACTCGATAATATATGTGTCTTTAGAGGCATCATCTTCATTTTCTGATTTCTTCACAGTAAATTGAGCCTGAAACCAGAAGAGTATTTAGTACGTAAGTAATATGAAGAGGGTTGGAGGGAAGAGCCCATAACTCCAGCTTAAACAAGCAGGTAGTTAATATCAAACTTGTTTTACTGAAGATGTTAGAGACACAAAGATCAAGACATGAAAATTTCAATAGCCTAGATATAAAATATTTTGTTCCAGAACCACGGTTCTTGATTGGAGGTATACATACCTGTGGAGTTTTGTCAGAATACACAGCCTGAACCCCACTCCACACACACTGAATCAGAACCCTGAGGAGCACGGCGTCGGCAAATATCAACTTTAAAATCTCAATTGTTAATTATAATGCCTCTGCACTATATTTCCTAAAATATTTCTAAAACATAGCACTGATGCATTTATACTTCTTTTACCTTCTCAGGTATTTAATTTAATTCCCTAAAAATACTATTCAGAAAGATCTAGTTCAGAGAAGAAAGGTGGGGGGAGGTGATGACTAACACCCTCCTTCATCTTTATTGGGCTTCACAGTGTATTTTCCACCTGGTAACTAATTCAAGTTTGGCTTTGAAATATTTGATCTCCATCACCGTAGTCTGGAAACAGAATTTTTTTAAAAAGCAAATGTGTTCATTCTAACGAACTAAATTAAAATCAAAACAACTGAGTAGGATGACTGAATTTGTGGCAAAGGCATTTCAGGTGTTCCTAAAACCTTAGAATTCTTTGAATACAATTTGAAAACCAATTCTGGGGC